CTAAAAGACTCACAGAACGGCATTTTGTGGAGAAGATTCCAGCCACAGGAAAGAAGGCAAAGCCACAAAGAAGATGTGTCGTGTGCTCAAGACAAGGCAAAAGGAAGGATACTGTTTATTGGTGTAGTGATTGTGAAGCAGCGATGTGTTTTGATGAATGTTTTAAGAAATACCACACACAACTCCACTTCTAATCAACTTGCTTCCATCGTTGAGATAAAGGGCGGCCATATTATCAGGTAAGATTATAACACCATCTTTTAAGATTATTTCAGTGAAAAATTCATAATTATATCTCATATAGTTCAAAAGCTATGATAATTAATATAATTTAGACACAAAATTTAAATGGCCAACTAAAAAGTAATACCGCCGGAGGCACCACGAAAGCGATTTTTAAATCCCCACGCTCAAGGGTTAACCCTGATCTTATTCAAGGGAGTTCCCTGGTATCCCGCGGGATCTAATCCTGACTGTTTGCAAGGACTTAACTTGCACCAGCTGGAGGCAGGTAGGGCTGAATTGTGGTCCACTTGTCCCTCACCCGCTTCCTCAGGTCGTCCAGCGCTCTGTCCGTAGATAGGCCCAGTTGACCGGCCAACTCCTCCAACTGCTGCTTGGAGAGCTCATAAATCCACACAAGTGGCATCTCGTCTCAGCATGAAACACAACACACAAACATGAGTGCCATATACCTGCACGGCACCAGAGCCAGGGACAGGGCGTTCCACAAATACGTATCCTCACTACATTTCCCAACGCCCCCCCCCCTTTTTTTTTGTTTTTGTGTTACTAACCACTGTACCACCATGATCCAGAACCACACTCTGCTATCATTTTGAACCGATACTACTCCCATCTTCAGCCTACCACCACCAAGCATCGGTGAAGTCAGGAGCAGTTCGTTGTCGCTGGCCCTCGCATCGTGTTTACAATGCTCCCTAAGTTCGTCGTGGGAAACCAAGCTCGCAATGGAGAATAATTACTGAAGTCAATGACAGACCCAAAAATAACAATAACAATGTTTAATAAACACAAAAATAAGTTACGACAAAAATACAAAAAAATATATATACAGATAAAATAAACCTGGCTCAGTTTCTCCACCCTACATTAATCCGCATCTCACGGCATCAGCTCAACAACCTGGCCCAGTGGCATTTGAACACAAGGTCACTTCCTTCCTAGCCACATGTGGCATCAAGACAAATACATAGAATAACTAAACTGAACTAGTCTGCCACAGGCGGCATCAAGACAAATACACAGAATAACTAAACTGAACTGGTCCGCCACAGGCTAAGCAAACCTCAGTCACAGGTGGCCTCAAGTAAATAATATATATATATTTATATAAAAAAACTAACAAACTAACTCTCGTATCGCCGCCACGCCATCCCCCCCGATAGCTGGCGACTGTAAACCCCAACGTCTGTGGCCAGACCCAGAGTATGCCGAAACACAATTTTGCAACAGGACCCCTCTGAACTGAAATTTAGAAAATATCCTTGGCTGGTCCACCAGACATGCTTACCCAAGTGCATCCACTTATCAGACTAAAACCTTGCTCTCCAACATACTTCCTCCCGAGACACAGGGGTAGAAAGGAAGGGGAAATCACGTGGTCTTCGGGAGAGAAGGAGGGGGCGAGCTTAGGATCATGAAAGAAAGGGTAGCACAGAAGATATGACTGGAAGCCATGATATCACTCATTACGCGAGCCGGTCCATGCACGGCTCAATTTTGTGGCCCATCTTAGAAGTGACTAATCCTTCCTTGAAGTAAAATATGTTATGACAGAGAGTGAAAAAATGTAGTTCCTACACACAACTGATACTATTGACAGTTCCAGCAGACATAAATTGTCTCTTCTTCTTCTTCTTCTTCTTCTTCTTCTTCTTCTTCCAGTCTAATGAAAATAGAAGCTGCCAAACTAAAAAAAATATTACTACTCAATTCTGTCAAGGGCAGTTACAACTTTAAATACAAATGCATTAAGAACAACAAACTTCTTGCACTGCCATCTTGACATGAGGAAACTTTAATTTGAAGATCATGCAGATGGGAAATACTGGAGATGTTAAATATCCACAGATTCTGCAATAGCTCAGTCAATAAACTAAGTTTTTTGACAGGTGACAATACTTTTTAAAAAACTGAAGATACTTCATGAATACAAGGATGTAATTTTGTGACAATAATCTCTAGGGGAAGATCAGTGAGAATGCATTAATGTGCTGATGGTCTTCAAGCTGTTAGAAATGACTGTGGGAGAATGATACATGGACATACACACGTTACAGAATTTATGCTTCATATCTGGTAGATCCCAGATGGATATGATGGGATAGTATCTTAAAAAAATGCCACAGCTGCTTCATTCACCCCAGTTCTTCCACTTGACACTATCCAGTAGAGCAATACATTTATGTCTGTTTACCTGCAAGCAAAGAGCCCCAAGTGCCTTCATTCATTCATTCATCAGTAATGAATGAATGAAGGCACAAGAAAGTTGCTGACCCTGAAGCAGTGAAAGGACAAATCTATACCCCTGCTGAAAATAAAAAATTCTGGCTGACCAGCTAGTAGCCAGCCACTTACTCACTGAGCTATCCTCCCTCTGTCGAGGAAGTGTCAGTCCTACTTCTTGCTACAAAATAAAGTATGTAGGCTTAAAGAAATCACTTCAGGAAGTCTTTTATTGTCAAATGGAAGATGTCTACATAGAGTAGGAATGACATATTTTTGACATACCACACAAAAGACTAATGGAGTAAAAATTTAACCACAAATAAGACTGAAAAACAAGAAAATAACGAAATTATAAACCACACGAGAAACAAATAGAATCAAAGCCAAACTATATTCATATGAAAGAGTTAACAGCTGGGTTTAACAGTTGGTGCCATTTTTTTTGTTGGTTTTGTTGGCTTGGGGTTTTTTCACTTGTCAATTCTACCCTTATTTAAGGCCTTGTTAAAAATTCTATTTAAGCCTTTACACCAAAAGCTCATCTTAACCTAACATCCAGGTCGCAAACCCTTCTGTCAGTAAGAACTCTCAAACGAGATTACACACTTATCCATAACATAAATTATATTATATAAGTGAAAGTTAGATCCTTTTCTTGCTGTACACAACTGAAACAATAGCAATGGGGATCTGATACTTGTTCCTCTTCAACAGTAAAATATGTATTCTGCACCTCATACCTGACAGCACAAATCTAATCCTTGAAGCAAGGAACTTTACAATGCTGCCATTTCCTACAGTACTTCATAAATTCTGTGCATGAAATCATAAATAATGTGACACAAAGGCTGACAGCCAGAAGAGTGGAGCAAATATATTTGGCTTTTGCTGGGCAACGGTATGGTAAACACATTTCTGCGGCAACTGATAGCGACATAGCAGTAGAGGAGAGTTTTCCATGTGATCTGCACCAAGGTTATATGAGTATAACAAGGGCCAAGTGAACAAGCCAAGAATTGCAGTCAGTTGGAGGTCAGGGTCAGTGGGCAGCAGGCAGTCTGGAGTTGCATTAACAGCCATTACCTAGCAATAACCAGCAACACCAGAGTAACAAACATAAGACTTTGTATGTGCTGTAGTTGTGGTGATCTACAGAGTGTAATTCAATAAGACTATTATAGCTGTTTGTAGTTAAGAGTTACAAGCATTCAAGTCACTAACACATGACAGTATTATTTTTAACATTATTCTGTATGTACATAACTGGAACTACAGCACTGGAGATTTGATTCAACAGCAAAAACATGTGTATTCTGTACCTTCTATCTGACATCACCAATACAATCCTTGAAGCAGGGAACTCCGTTATTTTACAATTCTGCTACTTCCTATGGTACATCATTTTAACTTCTGTGTATGGAACACACATTACTGACAAAGCTTTACCTTATTCTGGATGTACACAAACTGAAACTATGGCAATGGATATTTCTTCTCATCAATATCAATGAATTCTGCACCTTCTTTCAATTTGACCCATAACTTGATGGAACCACTCCCTGACTCTGAAGCAGGTGACTCTCCTAATTTCACAATGCAGCCATTTCCTATTATACCTTGTTCATGGGCTGCAGCAAGCTGATTAACCACTCGACGTTCCACCTCATACTTTATGGAGCGTGCACCATAATGAACATCATAACCATCTGCAAGGATTGCAAGCACTGAATGCTCCCACACCAACTTTATTTTGTGTTTTTCCAAAGCCTGAAATACAAGAAACATGAAATTCTTAAAACGAGAACACTGCAACAATTCTCTGCTTTTGTACATAATGTGAAAATGTCCTTTGATATTTTTTTTTCTTTTGGTGCTACAACCCCAATTTGGGCCTTGGACTAACTCCATGAAACTCTCTGTTTCACTTCAGTTTACTAGATCTCAGACATTCTGTAGGACTCCTTGGATGGGTGATCAGTTCATCACAAGGCCTCTACCCGTACAAAAATACAGAAAAACGTATGCATACACAATGAACATCCATGCCCTGAGTGGGATTTGAACCCATGATGCCGGCTTCAGAGCAAGCAAAGACAGTGTATGCCTTAGTCCGCTCAGCTACTGTGACTGGCCGACCATCAATATAGCAACTCTGAAATATTTAAATTTTGATTAAATCTGGTATTGGAATCTGAGGATTAACTTACTTTGATCACAATAAATAATACAAGCCTTAAATACTCATCGCAACATAACATCTTGCTTGCTCTATTTATTTTCAAAAACTCTCCTCACTGTCTTTATGTGAATCAGCAGAGATTACTGAAGCATCTATTTTAACACTAACCTCCTACCTTACAGTCCAGCCCACGTGGAACAACCCAGTCTCTTTCATCTATGTAAATTTTAAATACAATTTCTAGTCAATCTTGGCAGGAATTGTTTCACTGCTGCTGCAGTCCGCAGACGTCGGCAGCAACTATGGCCTTCCTCACACAATGATTCCACTGCCTGAGGTGTTGTCCTTACCTTTTCTCCCCACAGTTTCCTCACGGTTGTCATAGTAACAGACTGGGAAGGCAGAAGGATGGAAGGTCACCAGGTGATAACTGTCTGGTGGCTACAAATTTATACAGTTCTTCAGGTAAGGTCAAGTAGGACCGCACCATAGTTCAAGTGGTTAGTCACTGGCTTCCCACTGCGGTGGCTCGGGTTCAATCCCTGGTTTGGTCAATTGGGATCTGTGGTGGACAAAGTGGTGCTGGGGCAGGTTTTCTCTGAGTACTTTGGTTTCCCCTGATAATCTTCATTCCACCAACTGCTCCACAATCGCCCTCACCTATCATCTGTGGCTGCAGCACAAGGGACTTACTCATAGTCCCAGCCCAATAGCAATAAAAAAAAAGTTCAGGTAGGATGGGGACTAGCTTTGGATGGGATGGGTTGAGCCAGAGGTCTGATCTCTAGGTCTCAAATGGACCTAGATTAACAGGGCAGAAAAAACCTGATTGCACATACACACACACACACACACCATGATCACGCACGCGTATCAAAAGTCATGAGCAACTTTCTTGCATGCAACCTAGGAAAAGCAGACGAAAGAGAGTACGGTGGTAGGTGGAACCAGCTGTTGTGTTAACCTTGGGTGTTTTGTGATGTCAATAGCTTGCATCACATGACCACGTGACATGGCCGACAACGATGTCAGAGATGTCAGCGTGTTTATGGAAGTGTGTGCATGGGTATGAGCAGTGTTCAAAGATGGGTGAAACATTTTAAAGATGGGAATACCAGCATCGAAGATGAGCCTCGGAGCAGTCGTCCTCGAACAGCCTCAACTGAACGCAACAAGGAAAGAGTGGATGAGATCATTCAAGATGACAGGTGTGTGACTGTGGACACAACAGCCCGAAAACTTGGAACAGGACACAGTGCAGTACAGGAGACGATTGAAAGCTTGGGCTATAGGAAAGTTTGTGCTCGTTGGGTCCCGCGGTTATTGACCAAAGACCACAAAGGTCGGCGAAAAGCCATCACCTCAGAACTGCTGCAGAGATACTGAGATGAAGGCGATGATTTTTTGCTCTGTATTGTGACAGGTTATGAAAGCTGGTTTTGCCATTTCAAGCCCGAAATGAAACGGCAGAGTATGGAATGGCACCATTTGCATTCTCCATCAAAAAAGAAGGCAAAGACAGTACCATCAGCTGTGAAGATGATGGGCACAGTCTTCTGGGATGCAGAGGGGTTTATTCTGGCCGAATTCCTGGAACCTGAGCAAATCATCAATGCTGCTCGTTATGTCCAGATGCTGCACAAGCTCTGTGGTGCATTGCGCGATAAACGTTCGGGATGAAACATCATCATCCTGCATGACAATGCTCACCCCCACGCCGATCGCCTCACATTGGAAGCAACTGCAAAGATGAGGTAGGAAGTTCTTCCACACCCTTCCTATAGCCCTGATCTGGCATCCTCCAACTACCATCTTTTCAGATTTGTGAAGGATCAGCTGCGTGGACAACGTTTTGAGACAAGGGAGGCAATTCAGAAAGCAGTGCATCGGTGCCTTCGGATGGCTGGAAAGGAAAATTTACAGAAGGGGAATTTTCAAACTCCCAGAATGCTGGGAGAAATGTGTACGAAGAAGTGGCGATTATATGGAAAAATAAAGAAAGGTCTGTAGAGTGAGGTGGTGTATTTGGTTTGTCAATAATAAAGCACGTTACTTTACAAAAAATTGTTGCTCATGACTTTCAGTACGACCCTTGTAGATGTATACTGGCATTGATAGTTACACTTATGTTTACAGGAATCCACTTTAATACCTTGTACTTCCATCTAGGCACGATGGCCAAATTAACTGTCATGGTTCACACTAATCACTAATACGTAATGTATCCCAGTTGGCCGAATAGTTAAGTGGTTGTTAACTCTGTAATTCCAAAAGACGTGTCCTACCATTTGAAAAGACTGGGAATAGACTGAATATAGAAGTGACTTGTTCTGAGGTGGTAGACACCTCAAGACCTTCCAGCTTCCATCACAAGTTCTGTCCCTCAAGCTCATTAAAAAAAAAAATCTCAACATGTTTACATTTCCTAATAAACTACCTTTCTCAGGGAAATCTCGACATTAAGCCCTGAAAGATGTCTGATAGATAATTCCAAAAGCGTCAGTTCAAGAAACTCCTACTCTACAATTAATGACTGCAGAGACCTGCCAAATCCATGTTCCCAAAGAAAAGCTGAGGTCCTGAAAGTTAAAAAAATTCTACAAAACATAACCAATGCTTTTGGCCTTCCCAACAAGTCACCCACAAGAATGCAAGAATGGGATCCACCTTCTACTGGATTCCCAACATGTGCAAACACAAGTTAATCCCTGTAATTAATATTATTTACAATAACAGCCAGCCATGCTGTGCAATTACAAATTTTATTACATTTTACTAGGCTAGAAGGGCCAGGGCCCCTTTAATTTTACCAGCTCTACTATAATAAGAAGAACAAAAAATTAAGTTCTTTGATAGGTTATTCATACCTTCTGTGCCCAGAAATTCAGTTCTTTAGCAACTAGCTGAAGAAGTTCTGAATGAGAAAATGGTAGGAAGTAAACGATCTCATTGATCCGACCCAGAAATTCATCTCGTCGGAAATGACGTTTCAGGACTGGCTGGACTATCTTCTCCTTGAAGTTTCGAGAGATGGTGATATTTTCTGGTGTATCATCTTCATCTTATGAAACACAGAAATATGTTTCTCAGTTGCCCAAGTTACATATTTTGAATTCATTCAAACTTTTATTAATGTGCAAAGCCAATGACTGTCCACACTTTCACATTTTGATAATTCTGCATATGCATAACATGAAAAGCAAACTATAAATGGCAAATGTACCAAGCAAGTTGGTACAGTGGCCATAAACTACAGATGTATTTGAGATAAATCTAGCTAGGCTACCAGCTATCCTGAGAATTTCTTTACTTCTCATCATCTTGTCTAGGTGAATTTTGGCACAATACATCAAAGAAGCCACTATCAGCTCTCTTCAGACCAAGACTATCATATGCATAAAATGGCTGCAAACTGGGGAGTGTATGATATTTTGTTCACAAACATTAACAACTTTACAAAAACCTTGTATATAAACTGACTAGTACCTATTTTGCCTTCAAGTCTCTTATCTCTGATCTGTTTTGCTTCTTTCCGTAATTGTAAGGCATGCTGTGCTATCTCGTCACTAGCAAGGTTCGAAGTCATTATGAAGATTGCACCTTTGCACTCAATTGTTTTTCCTTTCCCATCTGTGAGACGTCCCTGTCAAGATTAAAAAGGTTAACAAATATACAATTTATTCATCTACGGTCAATAAAGACATTACAAATTTCAAGGATTCAAAAGTAATTGGGTTTAATTTCAGAGCAGTGCCCCAGAATATTCTATTTTCTTTTCGAAATATAGACATATACTGAAAACACTTGTCATTAAGGTTATGTATTTGAAGATTCTGAAGGATTATCTATTCTAAATTTAAATAATACAGTGATATCTCACTACTGTGTATTTAAAATTTACTATATTGAATCTGAAGCTCACTGTCAAACTCTAAAAACATTCAGTGTTAACTACTTTATTATAGCAAAGATTTAATTACCGACTAGGAATGTCTGGAACTCCAATATGGTACACTTTGCACATGAATGTGTTTGCAGAATAATTAACTTTTATCAGCCATGCATCATACTACTGCGTTGGCTGACCTGAGGTCTGGCTTGCCATGTGCTGCATTACTGTGTCACTAAAATACTCCTTTACTTCAAGCCAGACTACAGCAGTAATGACACTGTAACTTCCAGCACCACTGCATACAGCCCTCTGTTATGCTCCCCAGCTATGAGATACTTATTAACATTGATCATAGCAGGGTCAATGCTATCATGAAAGGATCATGGTCCACTCATGTCTTGTCCATGTGATTTTTATGGCATTCTCACTTGTCAGCTCTGAGGCAGCAAACACCTGAATGAGCCAGAATGAAGACTAACATAAATAAAAGTTGTCTCTGTGTTTGTTCATGAGGACAGTGAAGGAAGACCACCACATGAAATTTCGAACACATTAACCATCTAGTACTAATACACTACTGGGAAAGTGACTAAAATAAGCACAATCTACTTTGCAAAGCCTGGACTGTCAGATGACTTCTATATAATGCAAAAGGAAGAATTTTCAGTGCGATATGTATACTTGATAAAAGGCCAAGCATGTTCATAAGAGATAAACCCATCCTCTTGTCAGAGAGGATGTTATATAAGGACTATGACCACAAGGGTTCAGTCATAATAAAAATCTCGTCATGAGCCTCAAGAGGCCTGGTGCCAAGACAAAGTGATTGGCAGTAAACCACATGTTGTAATGTAGCTCTGACTTGGAGTAGAAATTTTTCCCACATGCTCTTTGCTGATGGGTGAATGAGGAGCACAGAGAGGACACTGAGGGGTTAAGACTACAACCAAGAAGAATCCAACAGATAGTAACTTGCTAACATTATTATATTATTGGGAAGGTGACACAAAAGTGATTCATTATAAAGTTATAGAAGTCAAGTTCCTCAGAAGTATGTAATAGTGAGATGTCACTGTAGTTTAAATCTTGCCTGAATACAAATTTATCAAGTTGTTACAATGATCTAAGTTATCATTATCGCAGCAATTTTTTTTTGCACAGTTGCTATAATACGTCTATTTTCTTAAAAATTACCACAGTAAAATTTGGATGTTTTTAACATTTTAAGACCTTATCTTGAATGGCACTAGCATTGCTCCTGACTCAGGTAACAGCCAGCACATTAGAACTGTTAGAGAAAATAAGTTCTGATTATCAGTGCTACGTTTCATCATGGTATAAAGTAACTTTATGCATAGAAACTCAGATGAAAATTCATGAGACTATCCTTGCAGCTTGGTCAAACTTGCAAAAACATGCCTATCAGCTTCTACATTTCTGTTTGTCTGTCTGGCACTCTGAGTGTTAATATACCTTGAGGACTGGCAAACTCATTTTCAGAAAATCTGATACTGGGCCATTTTACTAAAATTTGCTGAAACACCACAAGTTTGGTTAATTTCAGACATTATAATGATCGCTTTACATGAAGACATATGTGCATCTCTGCACATAATATATGTAATTTACTAATCATGTAATTATGAAACTTTAAGAATATTATTTTCCTATATTGTGTACCATTTTAGGTTGTCACAAAATGAATGCAAGCAACAGAACAAGCACAGATCTCTGTTCTTTTACAAATAATCTGTCATGTAACCCTTGAAGTTCAGCAGAAATGCCAGAGATGGCAGATATTATAAAAGGTTAATCAACTTCATTCAGTGTGACTGATAAAATGTTTTTTCTTTCTTTCCTTTTTAATCCTTCCTCCTTGACATGTTTCGGTCTTAAGAGACCTCTTCAGAAGGATATATCCATACAGGCAGAAACTACTATTACAATGTGTTTGGTCAATATCAATACAATACAATATCACCACAATGCCATGAATACAAAATCCAATCCCCCAACAACTACAGCAACATGCATGAATACATTAAAATATTTATAAATTATTCCAATTTGTCTCTCTACAAGTGTGGTTTAAAAGATTTTGTTAAAATTTTATATTCATGGCATTGTGATGATACTGTATGTACGTACTGATAATGACCAAACACACCGTAATAGTAGTTTATGCCTTTATTGATATATCCTTCTGAAGATGGGTCTTCAAAACCGAAACATGTCAAGGATGGAAGATTAAAAAGGAAAGAAAGAAAAAACACTGTATCAGTCACACTGGATGGAGTTGATTAACCTTTTAATAATATTGCTAGTGTAATGGACCAGAATGAACCAATGAAATGGCAGATATATTCTCATGAAATACATCTTCCAAATAATATAAAGACAAATACAGTTCATGAGATATTTTGTAAGACATAACTACAGGGTGATTCATATAGAACCGGCCCAATGAATTGAGCCGTAATATAAAATATACCATACAGATATTAAAGTAATTTACACGTCTTATCTTGGATTGTGTGCCGTGATCAGAGCAGGTGTTGAAAGTGTCCGCCGTTTCCAAGTAGGCACGCTTCCACCCGTGTTTGCATATTCGGCGTGACTCCCTGCAGTGTTTCTTCAGTGATATTCCTGATTTCAGTCGAAATGTTGTCCTTTAAATCCTGTAACGTATGCGGTTTGTTTGCATACACCGTCCTTCAGTAAACTCCAGAGAAAAAATTCGGGCTGGTAAGGTTGGGGGATTTTGGGGGCCACATCTTTTTAGAGACGACGCAAAGGGGGAACAAGCTCTCAATCAGTTCCATGAACATGTTGGACATGTGGCATGTCGCTGAATCCTGATGAAAACAACCCTGTGTAAGTTCCACATCATCCAGCTGCTGCACAAAATCGTAAAAGATATGGTAGTATAAGGTGCTCTCCACAGTCGTGTCGAAGAAGATCAGTCCAATGATTCGTAAACCAGAAATGGCACACCACACACTCACTTTTTGTGGGTGTAGTGGTGATTCAGCAATCTCATGTGGGTTTTCAGACGCCCAGATCCTGGAATTTTGTGCGTTTACATATTATGATAGGTGGAACCATGCTTCATCAATAAACCAAGTGATATCCAAAATTCTGGGGTTATCGCGCACGAATTCCCAAAACCATAAACAGCACCGTACCTGTTTGTCTTTATCATCATCACCCAATTCCTGAACACTGGTGATCTTGTAGGGAGGACGATTCGCTTTCTTTGCAGCCCGTTGACATGTTGAATAAGAATGCCCTGTTTCTTGGCTTAGATGTTGTAATGATTTCTTGGGAGACTGCAGTAACCTGTCCTGCACAATTGCAATCGTTTCTTCTGGCATTTCTGGGCGATTTTTACTATGTTCACTTAAAAGTGTCCCTGTCCTTTCCAATTTCTGAGCCAAGGACTGTATAGTCGATTTCGCTGGCTTCTTGCGAACTCCAAACTTCCTCTTGAATTCCAATTGTGTATTTGCAATCGAGCATGTCACCCAGTACATGTGCATGAGAAACACTCGCTGTTCAACAGTGTACTCCATGACTGTCGCCTGCGCACTGCACACATGTTTCGGGATTGTCCTTGACCTTGCAGCATAAGGGTTGCCACTTGCCGGATCATGCGCACACCATTCGACTCAGCATGGCCCACGGATTATTATTTCGTAATTGTGAGCGGTTATATGCATCACCTGGGGAATTATTAGCAAATTCATCAGGCCAGTTCTATACGATTCACCCTGTATAATGTTACTACTGACATTTAAATGAGATTTTATATATGTTACTTGAGCTACTCTCTGATAAAATATTTATGAGAATCATCTACTAACTAATACAAAATATAAGCACAGATGCTGAAGTCTTAATACCATCAGAAATGGCTTCCCACAGGCACTTAAAGGAAGAAAAGTTACAATGGAAACTCCTCCATGCAGCTCTTAACACTTTGCGGACTGGTGGCATATTTTTAGGCCCAGCGCTTTTAAACGTGGCAGACCGGTGGCATATTACTATGACTTTAGGACACGTTATGTTAAAACACACTATACCTTGCTCTGGCGCCAAGCAACTGCAATGAATACCGCACAATAAATCTTTGGAATGTATGCTAGGTATTTAGTAACTTGGCCTGGTTGGCTAGGGTCTCCACTCCAAAAGAAAATAAACTTTGCCCCTTCCAGCTGTTTATGTACCAGATAGGAAGTTAGTAGGGGAATATGTTTCAAAGTCAAAAGCGGTTGAAGGCAAAGTGTTCTCTCTGACTTGTTTATGGAGGTATCTGACATGCCTTGTGGAGGAGTGGTGATTAGTGACTCAGACAGTGGAAGTGACAGGGGTCAACAAAGAATTGTGGCCACAGATAATAAAAGTGAAAGTTGCCTTGTGGCTTATAAATTGTGCCATTTTCAATTCATTTTTTGGTTTACAAAAATCTTAACCGTGATTCTAAATTGAAATACAAAGCACTTCTGATGAATGCCAGATGGTGGTGGCAGAACCAAGGTCACACAAAGACTTAGTATGACCGGGCCCTTCAACTCCCACCACACAAAGGCCTCATGTGGACCCACCAGGGTGACTCTCGAGTGATATGCCTAAAAATACCCTCATGAAAATTGTGAAGAGTGAACATTCCAAGGGGAAGAATCCTTCTAGGCAATGCCATGTTTGCACAGTTCACAAAAAAAAAGGACTATGACTGTCTACATTTGAAAGTGTATAATGCCACTTCACAAAGGGGAATGTTTCCAGAAATATCACTCTCAAGAATTTCTAGGAGCATTGGTAAGTGTTCTCCAAAAATTTTAGTTCATAAAATTAATTAGGAGATTTTATATTAATTTTTAAATTGAACAGTGCACAAGTTAGGGTAGTAGGTATAAAAATGCCGGTCCCCAGGGTTATTTAAATATTTAAATTGCCGGTCCGCAAAGTGTTAATATATTAACATGCATAACAATTCAAACTTCTTAGCCCTTATCACATCAACTGATTGAAGTTCTCAGACCATTTAATTTAAATGCCCTAAATTATGGTATACTATATGTGACATGCAAAATTTAGAATACCTATGTTCTCTCATGTTAAGATATGATACAGCGTTAAAGAAAACTGACTGTAATATCCGATGTGAAACCATAACTTTACCTCATCAAACAACTGCAAAAGGACAGTCAAAACATCAGGATGTGCTTTATCAACTTCATCAAACAAAACAACAGCATTTGGAAACATCGAAAGTCTCTTGGTCAACTGGCCTCCATCATCATGTCCAACATAACCAGGAGGAGCACCAATCAGCTTTGCAACCTAAATAAACAGAACGTGTTGTTATAAGCTATGCACCCTTCAGAAATACTCAGCATCTGTCTGTATAACATCAGTCACTCTGTAATCATTTCATTCACCTGCAAATCTCTACAAACGAAAAAAAAAAACACTGTGGTTTTAATCCGCAAGTGAACACTACCAACTGAGCGACCACCGCTTTTCAACGAAGTTAGTGGCAACTTTAATGGCTAAAGGGTGTTGCGTGGTCAGTGCAATGAATCTCCACAGCCGTTGGTTTCGGTTTTCCAGACCAGAGCCACTATTCCCTTGAAACAGCTCAATTATCATCAAGAGGCTGAGTGGACCCCGTTTCAGGCCCACTACTTCTTATTAAATCTGGTAGCGCCGGGAATCCAAACCGGACCTCTGGATCTGTAGCCAGGAACTCTGACCACTAGATGACAGTAAGCATCTCTTAACCTATTCGTGACTCTATTCAGATAAACTGTAACCCCAGACTTCACCATATTTGGGTCATTCCATGTGAAATCATCGAGAAAGGTCACTCACCATTTTTAAAAAAATTAAAAATTTGTACACTTATTTCTACATATTTTCACGCCTCAAACAAAATGTTAAAAAAATTGTGATCCGCATGGTTCTCCTGGTACAGCCGTTTTTATAATGCGAAAAAACTCGTTTTCGACTCAAATGGAGGTTTGCGTTATCTTCTGTATATCGACAACTATTGAAGCTAGACACTCCAATAAAAAACCAATTTGTTCCTCATGATATGGACAACAAATCATATCATTATAAGGTTTTACTCAACTCACTTCCTCTAGGTATAATTAAGCTTGAAACTTACCTATCGATTTTGGGAAAAACGTTATTTTTGACCTTCAGAAACCAACGGGAGGGGTAAAGTATCAGATCTGTGGTTTCTACCCTTTTGTTTTCTCCTACATGAAGAATATAAACACACAGTTTTGAACACAGTATCTATTTTCTAAAATTTTCCAGGAGCTTCCAAACTTTGCTCTGGGCCCCAAATCGGCCATTTTTAACGTCTCATATCTCCGGTGGGGAAGCTCCAAAAAATTTTAAACTCATAGCAAATAATGCTCTATTCCAGAGTAACGTGGAGTTAAAATTACAACTTTGATATTCAACTAATAGCGAAGTTTCTACAATGCGAAAAAACGCGTTTTCGCCTGAAATGGAGGTTTGCGTTATCTCCCATATCTCGATAACTATTAAAGCTAGAGACTCCAATAAGAAACCAATTTGTTCCTCATGATATGGACTATAAATCATGGTATTACAAGGTTTCACTCAATTCACTTCCTCTAGGTCTAATTAAGCTCGAAACTTACCTATCGATTTTGGGTGAAACGCTATTTTTGACCTTCAAAAACCAGTGGGAAGGGGAAAGTATCAGATTTGTGGTTTCTACCCTTTGTTTTCTCCTACAGGAAGAATATAATCACATAGTTTTGAACACCATACCTATTTTCTAAAATTTTCCAGGAGCTTCCAACCTTTGCTCTGGGCACAAAATCGGTCATTTTTAACATCTCATATCTCCGGTGGAGAAGCTTCAGAAATTTTGAAATTCATAGCAAACAGTGCACTATTCTAGAGCAACTTGACGTTAAAATTACAACTTTTATATTCAACTAATAGCGAAGTTTCTATAATGCGAAAAAACGCGTTTTTGGCTCAAATGGAGTTTTGCGTTATCTTCCATACCTCGATAACTATTGAAGTTATAGACTCCAGTAAGAAAGCAATTTGTTCCTCATGATATGGACTATAAATATGGCGTTACAAGGTTTCACTCAACTCACTTCCTCTAGGTCTAATTAAGCTCAAAACTTACCTATCGATTTTGGGTGAAACGCTATTTGTGACCTTCAAAATCCAGTGGGAGTGGGAAAGTATCAGATTTGTGGTTTCTACCCTTTGTTGTTTCCTGCATGGGGAATATAATCACATAGGTTGAACCCCGTACCTAGTTTCCAGAATTTTAAAGGAGTTTTCAAACTATGCTCTGGGCCCCAATCAGCCATTTTTAACATCTCATATCGCCAGTGCAGAAGCTTCGAAAAATTTGAACTTCATAGCAAATAATGCTCTATTCTAGAGTAACTTGGAGTTAAAATTACAACTTTGATATTCAAGTAATAGCGAAGTTGTGAGCACTTTAAATTTTACAGATTTTGCAGAAAATTGTTCAAAGTTTTCATTGGGTAAATCAACAGGCTACACTTCACCCTTTTGTGTATTACTACAAGGCGGACACTATAAGAAAATGCCCAAGCTTGTGTATAATCAGTGATCATGTAAAGCACTATAGAGCCACAGTTTATGTGTTCCAAAAATTTCTTATCGCTGATATAAGAGAAAATGTGCCTTCAGTCAGGAAAGTTATTTATTTCAGTGATGGCGCTGGAAGCCAATATAAAAACAAAAAAAAAAATCTTTCCAATTTATGTCATCACTATGAAGACTTCGGACTTGAAGCAGAATGGAACTTCTTTGCCACCTCGCACTGGAAGAATGGCTGTAACGGTATTGGCAGCACAACGAAGAGGTAAGCAGCGAAAGCTGCTGGAAGCCAATATAAAAACAAAAAAAATCTTTCCAATTTATGTCATCACTATGAAGACTTTGGACTTGAAGCAGAATGGAACTTCTTTGCCACCTCACACGGGAAGAATGGCTGTGATGGTATTGGCAGCACAACAAAGAGGTAAGCAGCGAAAGCCAGTCTTCAAAGAATTCATTTTAATCAAATTATGTGCCCGCTAGAACTGTAAATATTCTGCACAGAAAATATCCCAGGAATAGTTTACTTTTTTGTGCCAAAAGAGGAAGTTGCAAGAAATGAAATAATTCTAAAAAGCATGTTCCAAAAGTGCAAAACTGTGCTCCACACAAGAGAAAAACACGGTCAGGTGTTATAAAACATCCAAGTCCGATGATTTCGAAGAATCCATGATAGCGGACACTTACTGAACTACATGTACTTTCAAACAAACTGGAAAATATTCATCGGAGTACACAAAGAACTAATACCATTGGATGCAGGTAAGCCAATTGTTGAGGTATTGGTTATTATTTTGGTAAAATTCAAAGTGCTCACAACTTCGCTAGTATTTGAATATAAAAGTTGTTTTTAACTTCAAGTTGCTCTAGAATAGTGCACTATTTGCTATTCACTATTCAACATTTTCAAAGCTTCTCCACCGGAGATATGAGATGTTAAAAATGGCCGATTTTGGGCCCAGAGCAAAGTTTGGAAGCTCCTGGAAAATTTTGGAAAATAGGTACGGTGTTCAAAACTATGTGCTTATATTCTTCATGTAGGAGAAAACAAAGGGTAGAAACCACAGATCTGATACTTTCCCCCTCCCATTGGTTTCTGAAGGTCAAAAATAGCGTTTTTCCCAAAATCGATAGGTAAGTTTCAAGCTTAATTACACCTGGAGAAAGTGAGTTGAATAAAATCCTGTAATGATATGATTTGTTGTCCATATCATGAGGAACAAAGTGGTTTTTACTGGCGCCTCAAGCTTTAATAGTTATGAAGATACAGAAGATAATGCAAACCTCCATTTGAGCCGAAAACGAGTTTTTTCGCATTATAAAAACGGCTGTACCAGGAGAACCGAGCAGATCACAGTTTTTTAACATTTTTTTTGAGGTGTAAAAATATGTAGAAATAAGTGTACAGATTTTGAATTTTTTTAAAAATGGTGAGCGAACTCTCTGGATGATTTCACATGGAATGACCCATTTGAGAACTAATGCCATTACTTCATACTATTTAACACTGCAAGAAGTACCTCAAGAAAGGAGCTGATAGGTGAAAATAATACTGTCCCCATATACAATGTATCTCACAATATACACTCAACTCTCGATTATCCAGGGGCAGATTAACCGGTTGGCGGCTTTTTTGAGGCTTATATATTGTTTAATATTCATTCACTTTTGTTTCACATGGTGAGTTGTAACACCATTTTCGCACTAGTGTGAACCGAGCTCAGCATTTTTTGGTCCTGTTATACTAACAGAATGTTCTAGGGTAGGGGTGAAAGAATGCAAGGATTTGTGGAAAGTTTCAAGGACAGATATACAGCCCCAATTAGTCTCTTTGTATCGATCTTCAAGTGCGTTAGCAGAATGTCAGGGTGTAAAAGGCAGCGTGTTGTGTTAAGTATTCAACAGTAACTCGTGTGAGCCTGGCTTCGAAATGTTAAGCAGTGACAAAATCGTAAGTTAAGTGCGGGTGCAGTCAGAAGAGCGGGAAGAAAGTGAGAATGAGGAACGGGTGGACAGTGCTGCTAGTAAGAAAGTATCACATGGTGCTGCTCTTAATCATTCGGAATCCTTACTAGGCTATCTTGAGAGTGAAGAGAACAATTTATTAAGTGACAAGCTAATATTACGTAGGCTTCATACGGATATCCGTAAAAAGGAAAATGCCGCGAAAAAGCAAATGACAATATTAAATTTTTTAAGTGTTAAGTGTAAATATTTGTAAAAAGTGTTGGATGTTGTTGAAGACTGTGATTGAAATAACTAATTCATACTTCAGTGTAATGTGAAAAAGTATTAAATAGGCCATGAGATGACATAAAAATGAGGTTGAATAAATTTAAATACAGGTAGGCCTGTAGTATTATGAAGGTACAGTATTACAGTACTACATTTAATAAAATTAATCTTTCGATTAATCGTGATTTCCATCCCCACCATTATCCAGGATAATCGAGAGTTGAGTGTATATTACTATTAGATGGGAGAGTAACATGAGCACCAAGACTGAGAACAGTAATATACAAACAAGCATTTAGGCCCGGACAAGGTTAACCCTTTTGCGCGGTCATTTAAATTCCGCTGCCATCTCTCCAGCGGTAATATATTCAGCCGGCCATTTAAATTTTGCTCGAAAATGATTTATTCATCATTGTTCTTAAATTATATGATAGGAACATGAAACTTTCACTAAAATGATCTTAAAAGGTGGTTTTATAACCTTACCTTATAATATGAGTGCCCGGTATCTCGGCAATGGAAGCAGATTGTTTAGAATTTGAGCAGTGTAAGGTAGGCCTTGAAGCATTCTTCTAACACAGCGCTTCCCCACATTCACCACACCAATACTGCGTATCACTCATTTGGCTCTTTTTTCCGTAAACAAAACATCTTCTGTGTGGCCTTACCTTCTTCCCCGTGGGGGGAATACAAGAGGAAATGTCTCTCCGTGAGTCGTATAGCTTGCCAGATTAGCTGCAGTAAATTCAACGTTACGAGTTATCATAACAAGGGGTTGTTGCTATGCCTTTGATATTCCATTCATTTTGGCGGCAGCAGATGTCGTAGGGGTGACCACAGAATTCATGAAGTTATTCTAAGAACTGGCTGGTATGTAGTGCACGAAAGCAGAGCTTAGCTGGCTCAAAAAAAATATTTATGGTCATCCCTCGAAACGACCACCAAGGTCAGTACGATAAAATGGCGTCAACTGGAGCGATAATACATGAAGGAATGAGTTCTTTNCTGCAAGACAGGCATATGTAACGATCACTTAGCGCAGATAAACTCGTGTCTCATTATATACAGTTCTTGTGACAACAGGCCAGCGAAAAATCTAACAATCTACAGCAAAACCATCAATTATTATGGGCGTCATAACATAGGTGTGCAGCTGGACGAAACATAGACGTCGAACCCCCGCAGACGATTTAAATACCTGACGAAACATACACGTCAAACCACACTGAACGGTTAATGAATACTTTTCTTGCATGTTTATGGTTTCCTTAAACTGGATCAAGCTGAACCATTAAACCAGAGAAAACCACATGAGACAACTGGGCAGTTTCTGCTGATCTAACTGATTGTTAGGGGAAGGTTTTCTATCACAGTCTAATTCATATGAATGTGAAGACAATATAATAGTGTTAAATGTCTGATTTTCAGCACTTTCTAATCCTTATTTTGGGCATACAGTCTCAACCAGTACAGGCAATATATTCATTTTAATATTTTGTTGCATTATATCCTTGAAGCTTGCTTCTGAATATTCTTCTGTTAACACAATTTTCAATTCTGACACGCCATTTATTTGCCCATGTATCCAAGCACTATGTTGGCAGGCCATGACATAGCTCAAGCGGTTAGTAGCCGACTTCCTGGGTTCAATCCCGGGTCTGGTCAGGGGGATTTGTGGTGGACAAAGTGGTACTGGGGCAGGTTTTCTCTGAGTACTTCAGTTTCCCCTGCCAATCTTCATTCCACGAAATTCTCCATCATTATAATCACTTTGGGCAGGCTACAATAAGCCAATCAATGGCCTCCATGCCAAGTGTACCCAGTTAGACTCAACCCCCACTAAAAAAAAAAAAAAAA